CTCACCCACCCCCGGGTTACTTACCAAAGCGCCCCATCATCTGCCTGCAAACAAGAAACAGAGAGCGCGTCAGAGGGTCCTCAGGTGGTGGGAATCCAGCTGGAACGCCCACCTGAAGGGCTGTTTATAAAAACGCAACCGCGTTCTAGCAAATTCAGCCCCGCGGGAAACCGTCCTCTTTATTGAATCCGCCCCTTTAATGTCACTGGGGGTATTTAAATGTGGGGTGGTTCACACGGAGAACGCCAGCAGGGGGGGTCCTCCTGGGCAGCCGTGGAGAGGGAACTTTGAAATGCAGGGTGCAGGCGCCGCGGGCGGCCCGGTTCCGTGAGGAAACGCTGCTCTTCCTCGGAATCCCAGAACCAACGGGCCCGGGAACCGCAGGCCAAGCGGACGCCACCCGGGGTGGGCACCGGCTTCTCCCTGCCGACGCACAAATGCAGGTCCCTCCCCCGCGCCACCTCCTGAGGCAAGGCGACCTTCACTTCGCCCCCAAACCCCTCTAGACTCAAGTCCCTTGTCTCCATCTCATTGAACAAATGTTTTCTTGAGCACCTACTATGTGCAGGCCGTGGAGCTACAGAAATGAACACCCCCGGCCCTGCCCTCACGAAGCCTGGTGGTGACGGAGACTCACGAGCCCGCATTTCCACGGGGCCCCCGTGTGCACCTACAGTGGGACATACAGGAGGTGCTGTGGGGACTAAAGGAAGCCAGCCATTCCTGCTTGCAACCAGGGAGGGCTTCCTGGAGGAGGCGGCCTCAGAGCTCTCTCTAGAGAGACATGGGAAGGAAGCTGAGGCTCCATGGAAGGTGTGGAGGACACCTTAAGAAACAAGGCTCTCCCCTCCGGCGGAGCCAGTGGGATGGATCAGTGAGCTGGGACGGTGGGTCCCTCGGACATCGGGGCGCCCGCTCCCTTCCTCTCCCCCCCTCTCGACACTCTGGAGGCCACCTTCTGACGCGGGGTGCGGACAGCCCGCCACTCCGGGAGCAACTCGTTCTAGCACCAAACACTTTGAAGACCTGGGTGCCCCCGCTCTACGGAGGCTCAACGTTGCAAGTCTCCCCACACCCTTCCCTTCCCTGCAAGAGATTCTGAACATGACCTATTTCATTTTTACTTGTTTATCACTGTCTCGTTCCAGAAAGGATTTCAGGCGGCCTGCATGAGCTCTCACTCCTACGCCATGCAAGTTTTGTTAATTTTTCTATTTGGGAAGAAATAACAGAGCTGGAACTCCTCATTCAAGTACCAAACCAAACTGCTACCTTGCCCTTCCTCATAAGTAAAAACAAAAATAACTTCAAAGAAAGCCTGTGGGGCAGACGCTTGGCGTGAAAAATTTCCCGGTAACGGGGAGGGATGCGGAGGGTCAGCCCCCGGCTGCAGCAGGGCCTGGGGGACAGGGCAGCAGGGCCACTTACTCCGTGGTCGTGGTCAGCTCCTCCGTGATGTGGCTGGAGTGCAGCAGGCCTTCCCGCTTCTGCAAACCCCAAAATAAGCAAATGAACGCACAGGCACGGAGGCGGAGAAGGCGACAGGAGGGCTGGCTGACGGGGAACCTGAAGCCAGGTACAGGTGGCCGGCCCACGGGGCCACCTTGGGGACAACAAACAAACAAAGAGTCGTGCAGAACGCCCAAGCCACGTGGTCACGCCGGCGACCCTTTGGGTGGCTGGAGGCTGCCCGGGTTCTCCGCGTTGCTCTGAGCGCCGGCAGCTTCGGGGGTCTCGGGAGAAACACCAGCTCCCAGAGGGACCCCCCACACCACGCCCCGCACCTGGAGAGGTGAGTCGCGCGGAGGAACAAGCAGAGCAATGGGAAGCACCCAACGAAGTAACCACGTGCATGGGCCGAATGGGGTCCCCCAAAGTCGTGTCCATGCAGAACCCCAGAATGTGGCCTTATTTGGAAATAGGGTCCTTGCAGATATAATTAGTTAAGGTCAGGCCACAGTGGATTAGGGTGGGTCTTCAACCTGATAGGGCCGGGGCCCTGATAAGAAGAGAAAATAGAGACACAGACACAGGGACACATCGACCTAGGATCCAGATCGGGGTTCGATTCCTGGTCAGGGCACATGCCCAGGTCTTGGGCTCGGTCCCTAGTCGGGGGTGTGCAGGAGGCAGCCGATCAATGATTCTCATCATCGACGTTTCTCTCTCTCTCTCTCCCTCTCCCTTCCTCTCTCTGAAATTAATAAAAACATATTTTAAAAAAATATATGTTCCCCAGGCTTCCCTGTGTTCAGCCTCTGGGGACCTCTCATCAGGGGCTCCTGTCAGTGACGTGCCCACCCTCCGGCGGCTGGCACCTTTCTCACGGTCCCCCCCCACTGACCTCAGGAGAGCCCCCGAGGGGGCCCGGGACACTGATTCACCTACTGATCAAACGCACGTGAGGCAGGTACTGGGTGCAGGGCCCAGGACTGAGTACTGGACACGCGCAGCTGAGTATTGTCCAAGTTTGCAGTGTGACCTTGATATCGTGAGGAAATCATTGCGGCTCAGAGACATCAGTGATGGCCCGCAGCCACACTGCCGGGGGGGTGGGAGGCCCCGGTCCTCAGTCCTCCCTCTACCAACCCCCCATTCCTCACATCTCTCACCTCAGCCCGGACAAAGGGACAAGGGGGGACAGGCAGGGGCCCGCGGGGAAGGAGGGGCAGCCCTGAGGTCAAGGCGGGGGCGGCTCTGAGGTCCGGGAGTCAGGCTGAGGCCCGAGGCCTGCGGTTCCCAAGACCTCCTCTCCCCGACTTTGGCCGTCGCCCAGAGAATCCTTCCATGACCCCGGTCAAGCAGGACGTGCCAGCAAGTGCTTGCCCGGGTCAGTGAAACTTTCCGCAAACCCACATTTCCTTGGACCAAAGTTCAGGCCTGAAAGGAAATACCCCAATTACTGAGGCGCACGGAGCTCGCGGGGCCCCCGGGTCTGACGTGTGTGGGTCTGGGAGCAGCGTTCCCGCGTGTCCTCAGGAAGCCTTTCCCGGCCGGCCGAGATGACGCGTCCCAGACGGTGGCCACAGGAATGGCCCCCTGTTCCCGTCACCACCACCGACCACAAGCATTCCTCCTCAGGAAGCCAGAGGGGCCAATGGCAGGTAACCCGCGCCCGATGCCAGAAAAGGGCATTCTCGGCCCTGGCAGGGCAGCTCGGTTGGTTAGAGCGTCACCCTGATACCCAAGGTTTCAGGCTCAATCCCCAGGCAGGGCGCAGACAAGAATGAACCAATAAATGCATAAACAAGTGGAACAACAAACCAATGTTTCTCTCTCTCTCTAATCAATAAATAAATTTTGCCCCGCTGGTGTGGCTCCGTGGTTGAGCGTCGACCTATGAACCAGGAGGTCACAGCTGGATTCCGGGTCAGGGCACATGCCCGGGTTGGGGCTCAATCCCCGGTCGGGGGCGTGCAGGAGGCAGCCGACCAATGACTCTCATCATTGATGTTTCTCTCTCTCTCCCTCTCCCTCCTCTCTCCCTAAAATCAATAAAAACATATTTTTAAAAAATCAATAAATAAATTTAAAAAATAATTTTTTTTAAAGAGAAGGGCATTCTTGCCCATTGGGTCAAGGCCAAGCTCCCGGGTAACGGAGGGGTCACAGCTTCGGGAAACACGGGACCAGCTGGAGCCTCACAGGCCACCGAGACCACGGGCCCTGTATGTTCACAAAGCGGAGGAGAGCGTGGAGCTGGGGCACCTCCAATAAAATAAACCCTGAGACATCTGGGTCCTGAGCGTCACCTCGACATTCCCGGAGAAGCAGCCGTTCCTGCTGGACCCAAGCATGTCTGCCCCACTTAGCGACCTCGGCAGCCGGCTACAGTAGGTGCTTAAGAGCCGTGTGCTGGACAAAACTGCAAACACAAAGCCAGGGCAGGGTGTGTGCCCCCAAATGCAAGGACGCAGCCAGCAGAGGCAGCTCTGCCTCCCTTGGAGGCCCCAGGCTCCTGGGTACATTTCTCCTGGTGAAGCCATAAAATGACCCAAAGCACAGACGAGGGGACTCTGCGGCTTTACCCAGGGGGCCTATCGCGTGCCCTTGGTCGCATCCCTCTCCAGTGAGCAACGAGCCGGCTGGNCTCCCTAAAATCAATAAAAACATATTTTTAAAAAATCAATAAATAAATTTAAAAAATAATTTTTTTTAAAGAGAAGGGCATTCTTGCCCATTGGGTCAAGGCCAAGCTCCCGGGTAACGGAGGGGTCACAGCTTCGGGAAACACGGGACCAGCTGGAGCCTCACAGGCCACCGAGACCACGGGCCCTGTATGTTCACAAAGCGGAGGAGAGCGTGGAGCTGGGGCACCTCCAATAAAATAAACCCTGAGACATCTGGGTCCTGAGCGTCACCTCGACATTCCCGGAGAAGCAGCCGTTCCTGCTGGACCCAAGCATGTCTGCCCCACTTAGCGACCTCGGCAGCCGGCTACAGTAGGTGCTTAAGAGCCGTGTGCTGGACAAAACTGCAAACACAAAGCCAGGGCAGGGTGTGTGCCCCCAAATGCAAGGACGCAGCCAGCAGAGGCAGCTCTGCCTCCCTTGGAGGCCCCAGGCTCCTGGGTACATTTCTCCTGGTGAAGCCATAAAATGACCCAAAGCACAGACGAGGGGACTCTGCGGCTTTACCCAGGGGGCCTATCGCGTGCCCTTGGTCGCATCCCTCTCCAGTGAGCAACGAGCCGGCTGGAGAGGCCCACATTCTGACTACTTGGCTCTGGAGAGAAATGAATGTTCTCCTTAAAAATGTGGAAAATTAAGCCTCAACACTCCCACGCCTTTTAATCGGCCTCTTCAAATCAATGCCACTGCTGCTGCTCCGGCCGCTTATTGCGAAGCCAGGGCGAGACACACTTTGTCAAGAGGGAGAAATAGAAAGTAGCCTCTTGGGAGATAGAAAAAAATAAAAATAAAAGAGAAAGTGGAGGAAATACAGGCAGAAAAAGTCCAGGTGCCTCCGCCGCAGAGCCCCGGGCAAGCTGACCCCCGGCGACACTCACCCGCACGACCACCACCTGCACGGAGACATGCTCGGGGAGCCGGATCGGGGCGCGGAAGTGCGTGGCCAGGGACACGAGCAGGTGCAGGATGGCCACCAGGTTCTTCCCGTGGATGGCTGGGGAGGGGAGAAGGCGCCGCTTTAGATCGCTTGTGCAGGAACCCCGAGCCCATGTCCAGAGGAAAGCCACGGGCCCCTGGGAAACGCAGAGCTGAGGGGCATCCCGTGCGAACTTAGTTCTGGCTCCTAATTTTTTTCTTTCCTGTCGGCCTAAGGTGACTTGCGTAACCACTTTGAAAAGCCTGATGCTCTCAAAAGGAGAAAACTGGGTGGTGATCAAATGAAACAGGTAGGAGAGTAAAATTAGCATCGGAGAAGGGAAAAGATGAAAGACGGGTTACCCCGCCACTTAGCCGGCACAGTAATGGGAGTTATCATCTCTGCAATCAGCCGTCTCCACGAGGGCAGGCTCTCAAGGGCAAGGCGGCCTTGGGGACGTGAGGCGTGACTCCCCCGCCCAGGTTCCTGGGCCTTCGCGGCTCTGTTAGCTCCTCTCCAGTATGGGGACCAGGTGTGGCGACTGTCACCATTCTGCACAGGGCTTTACGGGTTACAATGCACTCAATGCCCCGCCCACAGAGGCCAGCTTGGGTCTGTCCGAGGTCTGCATGCCGAGAAACCAGGGACAAATCTCACGGCAGCCCCAAGGGCCCCCGGCCAGCAGGGGGTGCTCCTGAGCCTCACCCGGTCAGCACTGCACCGAGGCTGAGGGGCGGGGGCCGGGAAGCCGGGACAAGGGCTTCCAGCTTCCCTGGTTTGGTTCTTCATGCCTCTGGTTCATGTCTGTGCTGGATGTACTGTGAGGTCACGTGTCCCTGACGCCAGCTCGCACCTTCCCGGGACCTGCCCCGGGGGGTCACCAATGAGCTCACCTGGGACTGGCGCCTCTGGGATCTGGGGCTGGGTTCCTTGCAAGGGCCCCCCAGAGCTTCTGTCTTACAACCTGAATTCCCACCCGTCCTCTGATGCCCCTCTGCCGTCTCAACCAGAGACAACGCCGCTCGGCGGGCGTGACTGAGTCCCTCGTCTCCGGGCTCCCGAGAGTGGGCACGCGGCCCTTCTCCTCTCCCAGCTGCCCGTCACGGAGCAGGAGCGCGAAGGGGTTTTTTAAACGCGAGCCCAGGCGCGATGACGATGGGGGGAGCCCGGGGCCGCCCCCGCCCCCCGGGCAGCGGCTCACCGTCCACCGACCACCGCAGCGCCCAGCCGTGGGGCCGCAGCAGCTCCTGCACGGCCTCCAGCACCGTCTGCAGCTTCTGCTTCTGCCCTATCTCGGACTGCGTCACCTCGGCCACGTTCAGCTTGCAGGCCGCCAGCTTCTCTACCGTGAGGACAGAGCAAAAGACAGGGTGTCAGGCGAAGCCGGGTGACGGGGGGCCGGCTGCTCCCCCGGCTGCAGTGGGGTCCCCTTCCCGCCGGGTCCGAGGTGGGGCAGGTCGCATGCAGCAAGGGGGGTTTCAGGGCGGTGAGCTACAGGGCTCTGAATCCCGGGTCACGCACGTTCCTGCGATAATGGCTCCAGGGTGAAAAGGGGGTGGGGTGCGAGGGTGAACCGGCGGGCGCCCCACCTGGGGACCCTCTGTGCACACGAAATGACTCAAGGTGCAGCGGGAGGTGACCTGCAGGGGCGGATGGGGAGGTGCGGAGGCTGGACCAGGGGCCTCCCAGCAAGAAGGGGACTTTGATATGAAGATGAAAAGGGTCCGACTTGTTGCCCGGCCGGTGTGGCTCAGTGGCTGAGGGTCGACCCATGAACCGAGAGGTCACCGGTTCGATTCCCGGTCAGGGCACATGCCCAGGCTGTGCGCTCGACCCCCAGTAGGGGGCGTGCACGAGGCGGCCGATTGATGTTTTTATTTCTCTAACCCTTTCCTTTCCTCTCTCTCTAAAATCAACAAAACCACATATATATATATTTTTAATATATCTTTATTGACTTCAGAGAGAGGAAAGAAGAGGGAGAGAGACACAGAAACATCGATGATGAGGGAGTCATTGATCGAGCCCGCAACCCGGGCATGTGCCCCGACCGGGAATCGAACCCTGATCTCCTGGATCCCAGGTCGACACTCAACCGCTGAGCCACGCCCGGCCGGGCAAAACCACATATTTTTTAAAAAGGGTCTGACACGTGGCCTCCCGCCTCCCTGCACCCTAGGGCCCCACTCGTTTCCCTCACATGGGGACGCCACGGTAAGGATTACTAGGTATTCACAGACACCTGGGCCGTTCCGTCCCCACGAGTGAGCAGGAAGCAGTCTGGAGGAGCCGGACAAGGGCGGTCACATCTGCTCAAGGTGCAATTACTGGGACTGGCCCCCAGCCACGGCCTGTGCGCCTTCATTTCCCTCCGGAGAGGAGCAGCAGGTGACGTCTGACCCCACCCAGGGCCAGGAGGACCCCGGGTTTCCCTCCTGCTTTTTTTTCTAAGTTGAATCGCGTCATCACAAACGCTGGTCACAAATGGGGTTTCTATCTTGCGAGTGTCCCCAGTGACGTTCTGTTCCAAGCATTTCCGCTGCAGGCGCCTGCGACTTCCAAGTTCTCTCCCCAGGGCCCCCCGCCCCCCGCCCTCGGTTAGAACATGAACAAGGGGTTCCCACAGCCCCCTGAGGGTCTGCGACTGTACAGCACTGCCCCCGGGGCTCGGGATACTCCGTCCACTCACTCACTCACTCAACACCGTTCCCGCACCCGCTGCACAGCAGCACCGCCCCACGGCGCCCGGGCGCAGGCCCACCCCACCTGAGCTCTGCGTCTGACGTCTGCGCTGCTGAACCAGGTCCTGACTGATCGCCCGGCTCCTACTCCCTGCTCTTCCCCCTCCCTGTTGCACCCAGAGGCCCAGGTGACCTTTTAAAACTCTCTCAGATCATGTCACAGCCCTGATCAAAACCTCTACTGGCCTCCTATCACTTGTCACTTGGAGTAAAAGCCTTTGTCTACCGGGGCTGGATGTGACCTGCCCCATCCGTCTTCCCAGCCTCCCCCCTTCCCTCCCCTCCCTTTCTCTTCTCTCTCTCTCCCCCCGAACAGAGGCCTCCAAACCCCGGGTTCCTGACTCTGCGCCCCAACATGTCCCTGCAGCAGCCTGCACTCGCCCCCCAACCCCGGCGGTCGCCGTCTGTGATAACATCAACCCACCCGGTCTCCAGCCCAGGCGGCCCCACCCGATGACTTTTAGGATGACTTTCAGGACGCGTGCTATCCCACGCACCAGGGAACACTGAGTCCCCGAGGCCACCCCTGCAGACATACGGGACCCTGAAAATTCATTAGAGCTTCTCGGGGACAAGAGACTGTTGAGCAAACAGCCGGAGCCGAGGCCTGAAGGACCCAGACGGACACTCGCTCCACCTCCTGCAAAAGGGGCCCACATCCTTGGAGGCAAGGGGACTGCAGGGCGCTCCTCGCGTCTCGGTCAGTGTGGCGACCGTGTGGACTGTCGCCCAGAGGAACTCGGGGACTCAACAGACCCTGCTCTCCCTTTCACTTCTCTGTCTTTTCCCACCGCTTACTGGCTCCAGGCTGCGTGCCGGCACCGCTGACCGCTCCGCGCACCTGAGCCCAGTGAGGCTGCCCCCGTAGTCAATGGCACGCAAAGGGCTGTCCACGGTCAGTCTCCACTCCTCCCCCAAATCACACCCACGTGCACAGCCCACTCACAGAATACCCTCTGGGGACCTGCCCCCCTGCACCTCCTGTCCTGAAGGGCTGCCCAGGTCCGAAGGCATCACAGTGGATGGGGATGGATGGGGCACAGGCCGGCAGCAAGGCTGGCCCGGAGGGGACAGCACCCACGCACGCCTGTGTCCTGCTCCCCTTGGTATGTGCACCCAACAGAACAGAGGCCGCGGGCAGTTCTGGAGGCTGGGGTGCCCTGCTCAGCCCTGTGGCTGGGAGCTCTGGTGGAACGCCCACTGGAGCAATGATGAGAGGACAGGTGACCTGCAGCCCAGGGGGCCCCGGGGCACCACCTGGGAGCTGCGGGCTCAGCGCTGAGGCTTCAGGTCTACCCTCAGGACGTGTGGCCAATGTAGCCACGTAGAGAACCATGTGGCCCGGCCTTGAGTCGCCCGGCTTTGGGCCGCCCTGCGCTGGGGCCCTGTGCGGGGCCGGGCTGGGGGCTGCCCCCCGGACTCACCCAGGAGCTTCTGCAGCACCTGGCCGTCGTAAAGGTCTTCCTCCAGCTGCTTCACGATGATCCGCTCCTCCACCAGGACATCGTTGATCCAGTCGATGAGGACCTAGGGGGCGGGAGGGACGTCAGGCCACACCCAGCAGTGCCGTGGGGACCTGGGCCGTGAGCAGGCCTTGGCCGGGGCCGGTGCGGGAGCCCAGAGCTGCTGGAAGCGAAGATGCCCGAGCTCGGGGCCAGGCGGGCGGGGTGGGGAAGGCAAGCTTCCCCCAGCCTGCAGGGGGGCCCGAGGGCGCCGACCAGCCCCAGGCTGCCAGGGCTCCCGTGGGGACCTCACGAGAACCCCGCAGAGGGCAGCCGCCTCCTAGACTGGGCTCCTAGCGGGAACTCGGGAGGGAGGGGAACTCTCAGCCAGAGGAACCGGTGACACCTGCTCACCAGGGCCTGGGGGCGCGGGGACTGAGGGGTCAGCGTCAGCAGTGCTGTCCCGCGTGGACCGAGGCAGCACAGGCCAGCCATAAAATGTCTGTCCCCCCCAGATGCTCCAGAACAGTCCCGAATCGCCCTGAACCTAAAGCTATAGAGAAAGGGGGGCCCCAGAGGGTCCGGCTCTGAGCTCCTACCCTTCCTAAGCTCTACGGAGACAGAATTCACACACCGCACAATTCACGTGTGAAACGTGTGCGGGCCAGTGTTTCTCATACACTCATAAGGCCCTGCAACCATCACCGTCATCAGCCGAAGCGCATCCTCATCACCCCAAAAAGAAGCCCCACCCCTATTAACAGTCACTCCCCGCTCGCCCCAGCCCCCGTTCCTTCCCAGCACTCAGCTCTCTGCCCCGGGTACAGACGTCCCGCTGCGGACATTTCTTATGAGTGGAATCGTTTAATATTCTGTGCCTGGCTGCTTTCGCTTCGCGTGTTTTCGAGGGCCAGCCAGGCTGTGGGGTGTGTCGGTCCGTCCTTCCTTCCTTCCTTCCCGTGGGTGAATCATGTTCCAGGGTATAAATAGACACACGGATTGACCCATCATCAGTGGGGTTGCCCCTACTTTTTGGCTGTGTGGATACCGCTCCTCTGAACGTGGCTGTCCCTGTTTTTCACGTGGACACCTCATTTCTCCGGGCCGGCCTTTCTCTCCGGCCTTTTCTCAACAACTTTTCCCGCTGAATTTACTGCCGACACATTATGAACGAAGGCAGCTTCCACGGGGGGTCGTCTACGGAGAGCTAGGACCCCCGCCGAACGCTATCCCGTCTGCCCAACGCCGCTAAGTCACTTCTCCGCCACATAAAATGGGATAAAATGGGCACCTGAACAGACTCGATCAGAAACAGACACAGCCCGTGACTTTTCCACACAAGCGAAGCTAATAAAACCGCTTAATTGGTGCCAACAACCTCCCGGAGACGGAAGTTTATGGCCACTCTGGGCGATGAACACGAGGGCGCGGGTCTCCGTCACTCTCTGAAACACGCAACCTGCAAAACTGGCCACGAAGCGAATTTCTCTGAGGTATGTTCTACTTTCCCCCTAACTGAAAATTATTAAATCAGGCACATGACCCCATGAAGAGTAGAAACAAAAATAAAGTAAAGGGCATTCTGGTTTTGTGAGAGATCCTGCGAAGGTCAGCCGGCTCCCCTGCTGGGCCCCCTCGGCTCCCTCCCAAGGATCGGGCGGCCTGGGAGGGGCCCGCAATGGGTGCCACCAGCTCCCAGCCAACCCCCCCCGGCTGCCGCCCTCCTCTCTGACCACCCCTCCAGTTTCCTTGGGGGTGTCCCTGTCACCTCCTTCTCCCCCTGATCTTTGAAGAGCATGTTCCTGAGGCCTCTCCCTGGACGACTCCTCTCCACTCTCTCCACCCTCTTCCCGGCCAGCTCGCGCCTTCCCAGGGCTCCCAGCGCTGTCCCAGCCCCAGAAACCCTCAGCCCGGCCTCTGCACCGTCCTTCGGCTCGGGTGTCCCCTGAGCTCCTCTATCTGAACTCATCACCCCCAACCCTGCTCCTTCTCCAGGAGAGAAACGGACACCAGACACCAGTTTCAGGAGCCTGGACCCCCACCCCCGAACCCCACTTCTTAACTGGGCCCACTTCTCAGCACCTCTTCTCCCACCGCCCTTGTCCAAACCACCTCCCTGGACCAGTGCCACAGCCCTAACTGAGCACCCTGCCTCCTCACCGGTGTTCTTCAAACACCCCAAGCTCACCTCTGCCTCAGGGCCTTTGCACATGCTATTCCTCCACCCTGAGCATACCCCCTCCCCCAGGGCCCGGCCAGCTTTCACTCATCCTTCTGGTCTCAAGCTTCTGTATCATTCCTGACCCCTCCCCAGGCCACATCCCCCCACCCTGGCTCCCATCACACCCCAGTGCCTTTTCCCGACCCTGTGCACATAAGCAATGCCAACACGTCTTCGTTTATGACCATCTCCCCTGTCAGACTTTAGGTTCTCTGAGGGCAGGAACTATGACTGTCCTGCTTGTGGCTCTGTCCCCAGCACCCAGTGCTCACTGCCTGGCACTGGAGCTCCATACACAGGTATTGAGTTAATTAGTTAATTTACCGAGCACCTACTACGTGCCAGGCTCTGGGAATAAGTAAGACAGACGGGGCCTCTGTCCTTGAGGTCCTTACGTTCCAATCAGACGTTAAGGACAAACGAGAACCACGCTTTCAGGCTGTGACCAATGTCATGAGGGAAATACGGCAGGTGCAGCGGGGAGGTCGACAAATACACCGCAGCCCGTGACCCAGGTCAACATCAACCAGTGCTCGGCTCAGCGCCACATCCCCAGGGGCTAAACCTGGGGCAGGCCCACGGAAGGAGCCCCAGCTGCAGGGTCTCTGGGACCCGCAGGCCTCTGGCGCCAGAGGCGGCCTTGCCCGGGGCGCAGTCCTCTTGGGAAACGGGGCAGACGCCGCTCCTCCTGCTAAGAAACTAAAGCTTCGAAATTCCACCCGGTCAAAGCCCGACACAAAAACTGCAGCCAGAACCGGGTGAGAATCAAGCTCCGCACA